TAATTTTCATTCTCAAACTTTGTTGGGCTCCATCCCAGGAAGCCACCAGCAAAATATAAAGATTTTATACCTTTCAGTTCTTCAGAAGAAGTCGTTTGAAGAGTTGGACACATTTGACCCCTGTGACCTTGAAAGTAGGTCAAGGTCATTTTTATTCTCAAACTTTGTTGGGCTCTATCCCAGGAAGCCATCAGCTATATATGAAGATTCTATACCTTTTAGTTCTTAAGAAGTCGTTTGAAGTTTTTGACATATTTGACCCCTGTGACCTTGAAAACAGGTCAAGGTCATTTTCGTTCTCAAACTTTGTAGGGATCCTACCAACGAAGCTTTCAGCCAAATATCATGACTCTAGGCATCTCCGTTCAGAAGAAGTTGTTTAAAGGAAAAGTTGACAGACGAGGACGACGCGCCACGGCATAAGCTCACTTGGCACTTCGTGCCAGGTGAGCTAAAAATATCATCACCCTGGGCATTTTGGTTATTCAGAAGAAGTTGTTTAAAGTTTTTAACATATTTGACCTATGTGACCTTGCATATGGGTGAAGATCATTAATTTGAACAAACTTTGTAGCCGTTCGTCTCAGCATGCTACTGGCAAAATATCATCACCCTGTGCATTTTGGTTATTCAGAAGAAGTTGTTTAAAGTGTTTTTTAATTGACCCCTGTTACCTTGAATATAATTGAACGTCATTCATATGAAAAAACTTGGTAGCCCTTCACCCAAGCATGCTACTGGCCAAATATCATCTCCCTGGGCAGTTTGGTTATTGAGAAGAAGATGTTTGAAGTTTTTAACATATTTGACCCCTGTGACCTTGAAAATAGGTGAAGGTCATTAATTTTAACAAACTTCGTAGCCCTACCTACCAGTTTGCTTCTGGCCAAATATCGACACCCTAGGCTTTTCGCTTATTAAGAAGAAGTCGTTTAAAGTAAAATATTGACCCTGGGCGCCGGCCAGCCGGCCGACGGACAGACGAACAGACGGACGACAGACGCCGCGCCACGGCATAAGCTCACTTGGCACTTTGTGCCAGGTGAGCTTATAAGTGAAGGTCATTCATTTGAACAAACTTGATAGCCCTTTATTCCAGCATGCTACTGGCCAATATATCACCCTGTGCATTATGGTTATTCAGAAGAAGTTGTTTAATGTTTTTCACATATTTGACCCCTGTGACCTTGAATATGGGTGAAGGTCATGCATTTGAACAAATTTTGTAGCCCTTCATCTCAGCATGCTACTGGCCAAATATCATCACCCTCAGCATTTTGGTTATTCAGAAGAAGTTGTTTAAAGTAGTTAACATATTTGACCCCTGTGACCTTGGACATAGATGAAGGTCATTCATTTGAACAAACTTGATAGCCCTTTACCCTAGCATGCTACTGGCCAAATATCATCACCCTGTGTATTTTGGTTATTCAGAAGAAGTTGTTTAATGTTTTTAACATATTTGACCCCTGTGACCTTGAATATAAGTGAAGGTCATGCATTTGAACAAACTCGATAGCCCTTTACCCCAGCATGCTACTGACTAAATATCATCACCCTGGTCATTTTGGTTATTCAGAAGAAGTTGTTTAAAGTTTTTGACATATTTGAAACCCGGTGACCTTGAATATGGGTGAAGTTCATTTATTTGAACAAACTTTGTAGCTCTTCATCTCAGCATGATACTGGCCAAATATCATTACCCTGGGCATTTTGGTTATTGAGAAGAAGTTTTTTAATGTTTTTCACATATTTGACCCCTGTGACCTTGACTAAAGGTGAAGGTAATTTATTTGAACAAACTTGGGAGCCCTTTATCCCAGCATGTTACTGGCCAAATATTATCAACCTAGGCCTCACTGTTATTCAGAAAAAGTTGTTTACAGGTTTTTAACATATTTGACTCCTGTGACCTTGAATATAGGTCAAGATTATTCAATTGAACAAACTTGATAGCCCTTTATTCTAGCATGTAACTGGTAAAATAGCATCACCCTAGTCGTCTCGGTTATTCAGAAGAAGTTGTTTAATGTTTTTCACATATTTGACCCCTGTGACCTTGACTATAGGTGAAGGTCATTCATTTGAACAAACTTGATAGCCCTTACCCTAGCATGCTACTGGCTAAATATCATCACCCTGGGCATTTTGGTTATTCAGAAGAAGTTGTTTTAAGTTTTTAACATATTTGACCCCTGTAACCTTGAATATGGGTGAAGTTAATTCATTTGAACAAACTTGATAGCCCTTTACCCTAGCATGCTACTGGCCAAATAGCATTACCCTGGGCATTTTGGTTTTTCAGTAGAAGTTGTTTAATGTTTTTAACATATTTGACCCCTGTGACCTTGAAAATGGATGAAGGTCATTTATTTTAACAAACTTGATAGCCCTTCATCCCAGCATGTTACTGGCCGAATATTATCAACCTAGGCCTCTCGGTTATTCAGAAGAAGTTGTTTAAATGTTTTAAACATATTTGACCCTTGTGACCTTGAATATAGGTCAAGGTTATTCAATTGAACAAACTTGATAGCCCTTTATTCTAGCATGTTACTGGCCAAATAGCATCACCCTAGGCGTCTCGGTTATTCAGAAGAAGTTGTTTAAAGATTTTAAACATATTTCACCCCTGTGACCTTGAATATAAATCAAGGTCATTAATTTGACCTTCGGGCCAGGTGAGCTAAAAATTGGACTGAGTGGCAGGTAACAGTGTATATAACATATATTATCAGCCTGAACCACAGGGGCTGGTAGTTACAAATGTCTGAAATACAAATGCTATACTAATATGGTATATAGTGCTAGTATAGCATATGTGTATTTCAGAATTTGTAACAAGCCCCTGTGCCATATCATTGAACATGTATTATGTGTGCATTTCAGACAAAAATTATGTATCTGCCTCCGATCCCCTCCCCCATTAGATAACAACCTGTTCGTCTGGGGTGGATTAGCTAAACCAGTATCACTATCAGAACGATATATCATACGTCTACAATTTTGTTTTAATAAAATACAAACACTAAACTTTGGTGCATCAAGACGTTCGTTTGTACTTTCGTTTTGATGACTGGCATGTTGGCCTGTTCTTACTCACGTATGTACAGCCATACAATACGACCACAGGATACAACCTTCATCAGTTCATAGGAGTGACAGATATAAATCGTATGGCATTATGATTGATTTACAACTTACCTTTAACATGGATTATAAGTATGTTTTGATATCTTTTTTGGCTGGCGTCAGATTGCTTGGTCGGTTGGACAAATGTGGACATTCTGTCTCATACATCTCTACAGATCTTGTGTATGCTTTATAAAGGAGATGACTTTGGCTACAAGATACTTTTCTGGGTATCGGGAGTCCGTATGGCACATTCTATGGTTAGAGTGTTTGACCATGGTGAAGATTAATGGTGTATAATGCTTCAAACCGAACACAAAATTAACACTGTAGCCTATGGGAAATGGCGTTGTCTGCATTTGTTTGTCCGACCCGGAGGCGGTCAGCACGAGAGAGATATCACGTGATAAAAAAAAACTGTCTGATTGGTCAAGCGTGTCTGCGGTTCATCCATGTATTTTTCAGAAGAAGATATTTGAAGTTTTTGACATATTTGACTTTTGTGACCCTGAAATAGGTCAAGTTCATTTTTGTTCAAATTTTGTATTCGACTTCATCAAAGAAAGCTACCAGCTAAATATCCTGATTCCTATCCTTTCAGTCATTCAGAAGAATTTGTTTTAAATTTTGGACATTTATTAAGTAGGCCAAGGTCACTTTATGTAAGCAAGTTTTGTTGGGCTCATCCAAGGAAGCTATACCAGTCAAATATCATGGCTCTAAGACTTTTGGTTCTTCAGAGGAAATCATTTAAAGGAAAATTTGACGATGAAGGGATGGATGACGAACACTGCGCCACGGCATAAGCTGACTGGTACTTTGGACCAGGTGAGATAAAAACGTTAATTGTTTATGGATGATGACAGACAAAAAGCAAAATGAATCGAATGAGACTTTATTTCAGGTGACCTTAAAAGTTTCCAAACAAGCCACGAAAAGCGATTGAAATAGGTCACTTGAGCAAAGCTCAGGTTATCTAATAATTTTGCTATTCTGGATCTTGGAATTATATTCATGGAATTCCTTTTTAAGTCCTTTATATTAAGAGAAATCAAAGCATTAAGTATTCTACTTATTATCTATTAGGGTAAATATATACTTAGAGAATTATTCATTTGGTCAAATCCACCATACAGGAATATTTGTCTCTCAGACACAAGGGTAAAGGTGTGCCACGACCGCCCTGGTGGAACATTGCCAGTAACTACCAACCTACAAATCACACAAAGAAAACTGACAGCTTCTATTTTAAACAAGAAACAATATCAGATAACATCATTCCCATTCAATAAATAAATGTGTGAAAAAATGGTATTTAAATACTTTCTTTTGGCATCGTTTTATTACATTTTGAAAATTGGTATTTGAATTTTCTGTTTTCACAATAAATTGTACACATCACTCATTTACGGATTGACCTTCATTTTGACGGTGTATACGGTAGTATGAACACAGTTGGGAACGAACAAATTTTATGGTGCACGTTAGCGCTCCATAGAGAATATGTTTGTGAACAACTGCATTCATACTACCGTAAATGCCATCAAAATGAAGGTTAATCTAGTGAATCTACAACAATATATGAGTAAATTTAGAAAATACACAGTGAACAGCACTATTTACACAGTGAACAGCACTATTTTTGTTTCCTTTAATTGATTTTAAATTTTAGATAAAGCAATTTGAGAAGCACTTGAAACTTTTCTAATCATTTACAACGGTCGTCATGCACACGCATTGACACACTGGTTATGGAGTGATGCGGTCAGAACAGGCCGCCATTGTTGACGTTACCGCCAAAGAAATTTGAATGTGCATCCATGGAATAAGAAGTTTGACAGCATTAGGTCACAGGGGTCAAATATATTTAATACATTTAAACAACTTCTTCTGAATAACCAATAGGCCTAGGGTGCTTAAATTTGGCCAGATTCCAGTGATTCCGGTATACCCAACTAACTTTATTGCGGGGGTATAAAAATGTGACAACTTATTTCAGGTAGCAGCATACAGTAGAAATGGCCCAACTCTGATAAACAAGGCACATGTCGAGGAAATGTAAACACAGCGGATTTACCCTACACAACACATGTATACATGTATATATATTTGTAAACTGCATTACATTTACAATACATATAAAGTCCTGAGAAGTGTATAAGCCTCTTTTTTCTATGTATGTCACTTGTGTGAAAACCACATCAGAAATTACCAAAAAATGCCAAAAATTGCTAATTTTGACCCAAAATTTGATCCCCGCAACTAGTAATTTTTTTCCTAAGTTCTGTCAGAAATTAAAGATTACCTACCTGGTTGCAGAATTATCTGGGTCCCAGTAAAGTTGTAACACTTGTTTTTTTGCAATTTTGCGTCGTGTGCTGTCGTCAAAATTTTACCTCCTGTAAAGCTAGCTTTTCATGTTTCGGATTATGGCCGAAATTTTATTCTCGAACCAAAAAAATCTTCTTCTTTTTTTAACAAATGTGAAGCTCACATAGCCCACTTCATCATGCTTATACCAATTTTAGTACAGTTTTTTATTTTTTTATTTTTTTTACATATCATTATACAGGGGTTAGCCATTTAACAAAAATATCACCCATGGCCACAACCATCTACTGTATACTGCTACCTCAATATAAAGAGATGTTTTGGTTTTATTTTGTTTAAAGTGGTTTTTATGTGGTTCGTGGGTATACTTCCGATTTCCCCATAGGACTGCTGCTTCAAGACAGTACAAGGACATAGTCATTCAGATTTCCCATGACTGGAAATGTGAAAGACAATCCAAATATCAAGGGAGGAGGACGGGGGACTTATACCTCTGCTTGTACCATGAACTGTGGCAATATTTCTTTCTAGAATGTGCACAACTTCATAGATATCGGAGGTAACTCCAATTCAATACTTTATTAACATTCCTTTGATGTAAATGCTTTGTGCACCAAATATCAATTATGTCAGTGCAATCCCTTGAGAGAATGTGAACAATGTTTTAAACAAATAGGGCATAACTCCTTAATAAGGGGAGATAACACCAATTTATACTTTTTTTAAACTTTTTATCAATGCTGTATGTGTAATGTGTCAATCAAAGTATCATTCAAATCTATGAAATACCTAAGCAGTAGTCTGTTTTAGCTAAGGAACATACTCGCAGCTCCATTATTTTGGGATGTTACTCAAATTTGTATACTTTATTCACATCTTTTCAATGTAAGTACCAAGTGTCTTTCAAATTTGTGTAGTAGTTTGGGAGGAGTAGTGCAAACAATATTTTTCAACGATGGGACATATCTCTATCAATTAAGGAGGCAATACCAATCTATATACTTTATTCACCATATCCCCTCTATGTAAGGGTTTTGTGTACCAACCATTATTGAATCTGTGCAGTACCTTAGGAGGAGTAGTATGAACAGTGTTGTGTCTAGCTCTACAGGCAGACAGCCTGATTCCAGCACATCCCCCAACTTTGTTTGAGTTTGGCAGTAATATGGAACTAAAGTACAGGGGGTGAATTGGTGAAAATTGCAATTTCAGTCAGTCAATTATGTTCAGTGGATAGTATTGAAGTGTAATTTTGCGCAAACCCTGTGCCCATAGGATTTTATCTGATTTTGCAACTTTTAGCCTAAAAACATGCTAGTTGCTAATGACTGAGCAACAAGCTTTTATCACACTTATGTCTCATGCTATCATTTGAATTGAATTGTTTTATGTTCAGACAATTATACTGATGGAGAATAGAATATTTCTGCTTGCTTGCTGAGGTCAAGCATTTTTCATTATCTTCTCAAGAAAATTCCTGTATCATAAATCAGGCCAATCTGTCATTCTTTAATTTTTTGAACAATGGACCTAAATGTCCTTTATTGCTCACCTGGGTATTACAGCAATCTAGGGAAAACATGCTCAATAAAATTAATTTTGCAAATATTTCCATATATTGAGTTTCTTTGGCTTAAGAATGTTCAAGACTAAATTAAACTTTATACTTCTCTATCACACAGGGAAATTCAGGAGTTTTAAAAGGTTTTCAACACATTTGACCACTTTGACCTTGGAAGTAGGTCAAGGACATTCATTAGAGGAAATTTATAGCACTCCATCTAAGGTACAAAATAGTATTGCAATAGGCATCTTGGTTATTCAAAACAAGAGATCCCAGAGGGATCTTGGCACCCACCAATATACCATCTTCATTAGTTCTATGTCAGTTTTCTCTTTTTCTCTTTTTTTCTTTATCTGTTTGATCAGTTTGTCTGTCCACCATCCAAATCAGTCTTTTGATCAATCTCAAAAGTGAACATGCACAGCTAAGAACCAAGGGGAACATATATATCAAATTTGAAAAAGGTTCCTACAGTACATTCTGAGGAATAGTGATCACAAACTTTACCTTTGACAATGAGCAGTAGGGCTAACAAACTTTTACTCTGAAGTTCAATAGGGCCACAGCCAGTCATCTTGGTTTTCAAATCATCCCCAAAATTTGAAATGTAGAACTAGGAATCATAGGGAACGTTCATGTGAAATTTGAGAAAAATCCCTCCTGTACATTCTGAGAACAAACTTTCATTCTCAAATTCAAGATGTCCGGCTATCCTCCAACTTCATTTTGTGATCAATTCCACATGAAGGTTCCCAATGGTTCCTAGTTATGGATATCATTTTTTTGGAACTTATCACTAAATCAAGATGGCCGACAGCCAGCTATTTTGAATTTAGTTTAAACTTTATTTTATTCAAGTATTTCAATTATATACATATATATGCAATATAAGGACTTCTCAATGTTTTCTTTATCCAACACAAGGACTTCTCAATGTTTTCTTTAGACGCTATCTCTGTCTTTTGTTCTATTTTTTATATTTAATTCCAACACAAGGACTTCTCAATGTTTTCTTTATATATATATATAACATTTTGTAACAAAACACAAAATAGGAAATAGAAACAAGTGTCTTAGACACTTATGTAAATCTATCACCTTAAATTTAACAATGAATTTTGAATTTGAGAGTAGAAGTTTGCAAGCAATATTTATCAGAAAGTACTGGAGGGATCTTTCTCAAAATTCACATGAAGGTTTCTCATGGTCCTTAGTTCTAGTCATGCATATTGTTTTTTTTGGATTGATCACAAAACCATGATGGCCGACAGACAGCCATCTTGGATTTGAGGATTCAAGTTTGTAAGCGCTATTTATCAGAAAGTGTAATCACTTACGGCCCTGTCCATGTCAGTGTGTCAAGGTTAAGACAGTGAAGGTCATTCAGTCTCTCAGCTATGTGACGTCCACCAAACAGGTACACCTGGTTCCCAGCCTTAGCTGTAGCATGAGCAGCCCGTGAAGACGGAACTTGACCCTAGACAGACATGTACAACAGATCAATTTATTTTACAAAACATTTATACCGACACATTTGAAACATGCAAAAACATGTTATCAGTTATCAGTATCACATCTGGTACTACAGTCACCTGACTTACTCTACAGTGGGGATTACTCAACATCTTTGTTATCAGTATCACATCTGGGACTACAGTCACCTGACTTACTCTACGGTGGGGATAACTCAAATCTCTGTTATCAGTATCACATCTGGTACTACAGTCACCCGACTTACTCTACCGTGGGAATTACTCAACATCAATGTTATCAGTATCACACCTGGGACTACAGTCACCCGACTTACTTTATAGAGGGGATTACTCCACATCGTTGTTATCAGTATCACACCTAGGCTACAGTCACCTGACTTACTTTACAGAGGGGATTACTCCACATCTATGTAATCAGTATCATATCTGGGACTACAGTCACCTGACTTACTCTACATTGGGGATTATTCCACATCGTTGTTATCAGTATCACACCTAGGCTACAGTCACCTGGCTTACTTTACAGAGGGGATTACTCAACATCTTTGTTATCAGTATCACACCTAGACTACAGTCACCTGACTTACTTTACAGAGGGGATTACTCAACATCTTTGTTATCAGTATCACACCTGGGACTACAGTCACTTGACTTACTCTACATTGGGGATTACTCAACATCTTTGTTATCAGTATCACACCTAGAACTACGGTCACCTGACTTACTCAACAGTGGGGATTACTCAACATCTATGTTATCAGTTTCACATCTGGGACTAGTCACCCGACTTACTTTATAGAGGGGATAACTCACCATTTTTTTTATCAGTATCACATCTTGGAATAGAGTCATCTGACTTACCTTACAGTGAGGATTACTCCACATCTTGGTTTCAAGATCGAAAATCAGGAGCTGGTTATTCCATCCCCGCAGCTGTTAAACAAATAAAAATTAATATCAAAGTCATTAACCTAAAGGCCATCAGTCTAAAAGCTGTAAATGTAAAGGCCAATATGAACGCCTAAATACAAGGTTATCAACATAAAGGTTTACAATGTATAGCCCATTGTTAGAAAGGTCCATAATGTATAGGCCATCAACATAAAGGTCAACAGTGTTTAGGCCATCAACATAAAGGTCAACAGTATATAGGCCATCAGCATAAAGGTCAACAATGTATAGGCCATCAACATAAAGGTCAACAATGTATAGGCCATCAACATAAAGGTTAGCAAGAGGCCCAATAGGCATGAATCGCTCACCTGGTATTAATCTCATACTTGTAATCTTAAAAGAGGACTAATATACAGCTTCAGGCAAAATATCTGTTCGATTCATCTGAATCTATTAAATGATTTAAACATATGACGCCTGTGAACTTGAAAGTTTAAAGCCTTCCGTCCCAGCATACTTCTGGCTAAATATCATTACCCTGGACCTTTTGAAAGTCATTTAAAGATTTAATCATATATTGACCACTGTGACCTTGAATATGAGCAAAGGTCATTCATTTGAACAAACTTGGTAGCCCTTCTTCCCAGCATGTTACTGGCCAAATATCATCATCCAAGGGCTATTGGTAATTGAGAAGTTGTTTAAAGCTTTTAAACATATTTGACCCCTGTGACCTTGAAAATGGTTGAAGGTCGTTTGTTTGAACAAACTTGGTAGCCCTTCATCTGAGCATGATACTAGCCAAATATCATTTGTCTAGGCCTCTTGGGTTTTCAGGAGAAGTTGTGTAAAGGTTTTAAACATATTTGACCCCTGTGGACTTGAAAATAGATGAAGGTCATTTGTTTGATCAAACTTGGTAGCCCTTCATACCATCATGTTACTGGCCGAATATCATCATCTAAGGCCTTTTGGTTATTGAGGAGAAGTTTTTAAAATAAGTTAACCTAGTTGACCCCTGTGACCTAGAAAATAGATGGTCATTCATTTGAACAAACTTGGTTGCCCTTCATCCCAGCATGTTAATGGCAAAATATCATCATCCAAGGCCTCTTGGGTATTCAGAAGAGAAGTTATTTTTAAAGATTTTCAATATATTTAACCCTTGTGACTTTAAAAAAGGGTAATGGTCACTTATTTGAACAAACTTGGTAGCCCTTCATCCCAGCATGTTACAGGCCCAATATCAGTATTCTGGGCTTTTTGGTTACTGAGAGGAAGTCTTTTGAAGATTTTAACACATTTGACCCCTGTGACCTTGAAAGTGGGTCAAGGTCATTCATCTGAATAAACTTGGTAGCCTTTTATCCCAGCATGTTACTGGCCAAATATCGTTATCCTAGCCTTCTTGGTTATTCAGAAAAAGTTGTTTAAAGATTTTTAAGACAATTGACCCCTGTGACCTTGAAAATTTGTGAAGGTCATTTATTTGAACAAACTTGGTAGCCCTTCATGATTTCATCCCAGCATGCTACTGGCCAAATATCTTCACCCTGGGATTTTTGGTTATTCAGAAGAAGTTGTTTAAAGTTTTTAACATATTTGACCCCTATGACCTTGAAAATAGGTGAAGGTCATTTATTTGAACAAACTTGGTAGCCCTTCATCCCAGTTTGCGTTTGGCCAAATATCATCACCCTAGGCCTTTCAGTTATTAAGAAGAAGTCGTTTAAAGTAAAATATTGACATCAGACGGACGACGCACCACCGCATAAGCTCACTTGGTCAAGTGAGCTAAAAATCAGTAGCCAAAAAAGTAGCCATGTGTGAATTTCAGTTGCCAATTTTTTTAAACAGTGGCCATACTTTCTCAGCCTCCAACCGTTACAGATATGCCCTCCATTAAAATCATTCAATATTTGATATTTTTTGAAGTGCAGTACTATTCAACATGATGTTAAATAATGGAGTACTCTATTAAATTAAAATTTTGTTATACATCATGTTTATAATTTAATCTATAATGAGATATTTTTTTAATAATTTCAGATTATATGGCTGTAATTATAAGAAAATATGACTTAAATTAAAATGCTGAAAAGTTTCCACCAGAACTTTTTGAATTCTTTTCAAAAGAGAGAAAAATCAGACTTTATCTCATTTTCTTGATACAGGAATTGTGAAAAGAAATTAGGTTGAAAAGTTTAAATTTTAAGGTATTATTCGCCTTTAATTGCGGGCTTTGTCTAATTCTGTGCCTTCAATCTAAAAAATAACAAGAGGCCCAGAGGGCATGTATCGCTCACCTGTTTCTTTTGTTACATGAAACTGACATATAGGTAACTTCAGACCAAATTTGGTAACTAGAACACAAGACCTTTTAACATCTCTTAACCGCTTCTGAAGATATTGTTGTCTGAAATTTAAAAATGTAATTTAACGCTTTTAACCCACATTGACCTTTGACTCCGGCTAGCACTTAAAATTGACATTGACCTCATTACTGTAAATAAGAAAAAGATTTGCACTGCTGGTCTATATAACATACCGTAGGTATCATGACTCTAGACCAAATGATTCTGTGGATATCGTCGTTTGATTTTTTTTTTACATTTTGACTACTGTGACCTTGAAAGTAGGTCAAGGTCATTTTAAAGAGAATACTTTATAGCACTCTATCCCTGGTACTTACTGGCCAAATATCATGACCCTGGGCCTTATGGAACTTGAGAAGAAATTTGTTAAAGCTTTTAACCCATGTTGACTTTTGACCCCCAACTAGCACTTAAAGTTGACATTTGCCCTCATTACTGTGAAAAAGAAAAAGATTTGCACTGCTGGTCTACATAACACTCTCATTAGTATCATGACTCTAGTCCAAATGGTTCTTTTTTTTCTTTTTTTTTTCTTTTTTTTTCAAACATTTTACTTCCCCAGCACATTTAGGATACTGCCGAGGTTGGGGAGCCCCGGGATCAGCATCTTCACAATCATGTGTCCTCATACAAGAGGGCTATCATACTTTCTTTCATACTTACTAGTAATTATATTATTATTTCTTTATTTTCACTGTCTTCTTTAACATTTATACTTACATTCAAACTTCCATTCAAAATTACCGTACAAATTATCCGGACATACATATATGCATACACTCCTTTTGCCACGCCTCCAGGTGAATTATCCTGTACTGGGCCTCACTTCCGTGACAAGTCGGCCTTGACCTTAGATGTGTGTGTTTTAATAGTAACATGGTGGAAACACGCCGCTCTGTGGTATGACAATATTAGGCAGTCTCAATGTGCTTGTAAATCAATTGAGTATGCCTAATATGTTTGTTTTTGAATTTTCTATTGTGAAAGGGGGTTTTGGGGTTGATATTGATGAAGCTGTGTTGTAGATCAGCTTACTTGTTTCTGTGAAGACGCGGAACTCGTTTCGTTAAAACAGAAAGTAGAAATGTGGATCGCTACGATGAATAAGTTTTTTGCCATATAGATCTACTAAAACACTCTGGCCTACAATATTTTGTTATTATTATATTTTCTTAAGTGTATCAGATGCTAGAAGAGAAAAGGTTCAGGTCTTTTTGCTGTTGTATTGATTTCGTTTCCCATAAATAGTCTTCCAGATCTTGTTTCAATATATTTATTACATTTATTGATAAGGTTTTGCATTCACTTACATGAAAAAAAAATCATAGAAATATATAATTTTTTTGTTTGATTCAGAGCCTGAACATCGTTTTTTTCCCAGATTTTTTGGGTGCGCAAAATATTCGAGTAGAAGCTTTTTTCCCAATTTTCAGCCTCAAAAAGTACCTGCGCAAATTACACAGGTGCGCAAATTACATGGGTTTTTACGGTATGTGGTATGTTCTGTAAATGGAGTATCTCATTAGTGTATATATAATGTTGGGTGTTTCATATTCAGGGACGCTGATGTTGTTTCCCATTACTATAAATTCTAACATTCTGCTTTTGTTTATTTTACATGTTGACATTGCTGAATTGACCTTTTCCCAGATTGTTTATAAGTAAGAGCATTCTACAAAGTAATGCTTGTAGTCTTCACATTTCCCACAATGTTTACAATTTGGGGTGTTTGAAATTTTCCATTTTTCAAGTTGTTGCTGTGTAGGAACTATTTGATTAATGAGTTTATATTTAAATTGAACAATTCTGTTATCGTGTATTTTCTTGAATATGAATTCTGATATTTCAGACCATCTTGATTTTCTTTTAGATGTATCAAGTGTTTTATTCCATGCTTCATATATATAAAGTTCTATAAATTTCTGTTCTATTAACTTGCCGTAAGAAATTTTGCTGTTTAGCTGTTCTATAGAGATGGTTTTATTGGTAGTGCTGTCTAAAATGTTCAATTGTGTTTTGTAGTGTAATGTTGGGTAGGGTGTAAGTTTGAGTTTATTCATCCATTCCTTCAGTATACCCCTGCGAGACGGTATTCATGAAATCATGAATGGTCATGAACAATTACTTATTCATGAATATTCATCAACCTGCTGCGGTGGCTCAGTCAGTGGTTAAGGTCACAGACTTCAAATCACATACTTCTCACCTCCTTATTTATATATATATATATATATATCCCCATTGAAAATAACACTGGAATTCCAGTGGAATTCCACTGAATTTCAGTGAGATTCCACTGGAATTAAATATTTCAGTGGAATACCACTGGAATTCCAGAGAAAAAAAAAATGTTCCCGTGGAGTTCCAGTGAAGCAAAAAAATACAAGTAGAATTCCACTGGAAAAAAATCACTGGAATTATATTTCTACTGGAATATTAATTCCAATGGAACTATAACTCCTCTGACAATCCATGCAGAGGTGATGAGATCTGAAATACATTTTGCATGAAGTGGTATTAACTAGAAAAAATGGAACAATACATCAGTTTAACAATTTTTTAATAGATATATTACCCTTTACAAAGACAATTGTAGGCTAGCTATTAACGTACATGAGTTTATACAAAATATGACTATGTTAAGTCAGTT